CAGGCTCTGCCCAGTGACAGGACAAGGAGCAGTGGCCACAAAGCAAACCACAGCAGCTCCAGCTCAGCAGGAGGAAGAGCCTCTCTCCATGGAGGGACAGCTGCCCAGGGGGGCTGGAGACACCCCAAACCCACCTGGACACACCCCAGGGACCCTGCCCTGCCAGGGGCCTGGCCTGGGTGACATCCAGACCCTCCCAAGCCACACTCTGTGTGAAGGTGGAGTGGCTCCAGAAGGCCACTGAGTGCCCAAGAATGGCCAGTGTTGCCTTCTGCCCTCACTGCTCTGATGTGTTTGCACCTGGTGGTTGGTGTTCCTCTGATCACTGTCACCAGTGCAGCTCTGGGTAAATTCAGTGCGGATCTTAAAGTTTTCCTGTTTTACCTGTGTGAAATGATTTGCCAGAGATCCTAGAATTCCCAGACTGGACTGAGTTGGAAGGGGCCTTAAAGGAACCTCCTGCTTCACCCTCCTGCAACATCTTGCACTAGAATGTTCAAGTCTTGAGTGGGTATTGGATGTGTCCACTTGATAAAATAGTTCCTTTCAATTTTTTCATTGTTTTTCCACATAAAACACCATTTTATGTAATTGGGAAGAGGCTCTTTTCTATCACACATGAAAGACAGAATCAACCACCTTGTGTGACAGGAAGGAACTCGGATACTTGAGAATTCCCTTTGTCCCAGGGTTTACCTGCACACCAGTCAGAGAAAATGTGACTTGATTTGCTGCAAAAGCCCCAGAATGTCTCACTTTGTGTGTGGTGTCCCACAGAGGAGTTTTCCCGGGTCAGAGAGGAGGTGCCCCTGGAGCTGGTGGAAGCCCACGTGAAGAAGGTGCAGGAAGCTGCTCGAGCCTCTGGGAAGGTGGATCCCACCTACGGCCTGGAGAGCAGCTGCATCGCTGGCACGGGCCCCGAGGAGCCCGAGAAGATGGGTGAGTGCTGCCTCCCCCGAGTGCTGCAGCTGGGGCTGCCTGGGGCATTCTCCTCTGAGTCCTGAGAGAAACCCAGAATTCACCTCCAAATTCTCCTTCTCCAGCAGCAGATGGAAGTTGTGGGTAGGGAGGAGGGGATGGGTCGTTCTGCTCACTGCAGGATTGACTCAGACACCGAACTGAGGAATTTAGGGCTACCTTGAGTTTTTGGAGTTTGTTCTCCTGCTCTCGCTGTGTGGAAATGCTGTTGCTTGGGATGCACAGAGTGGACTGACCAAAAATACCAGAGCAGGATATTCCATTGACTGGGCTGTTGGAGGATGCTGCCTTTGTGGTGTTAAAGCAGACTGAGGGTTTGGGCAGTGGGTTTTAGGGTGGAGCTGGTACTTTGAGTGTGTTGCTCCCTGTGGAGGCAGCAGCAGAGGAATTTCTGATCAAGTGCTGGACTGGCACATGATAGCCCAGTCTTGGCTCTGGTTGGGCTGGAATTCTGCTGGGCTTTACCTGTGTGTGTTAGCAAGCTCTGGTTTGACTCCTGTCGTGTTCAGCAATTATTCTGCTATTAAGTCTCTTCTCTGGAGCCCTGCCTGGTGCAAATTGGTTCCTCGTTGCTCTGGAGTGCCAAAGCAGCTCCCTGGGAAGTGAAGCCCTGCGTGCCCCTCTCTGTTGGCCCTGGTGGCTCTCCCCAGCAGGAGGAGCAGACACAGTTTACTCCATCCCCAGGGCTTGCTCAGGCTTTGCTCTCCTCATTTGGTTACAGATCCACAATCTTGTCACTGTTGCTTCCTCTCAGCCCTGTTGGCTCCTGCTTTGTTCAGCTCATCACAAGTGATTTCAGTGAGTTTAGTGACTGGACAGGAAAAGGCACGTCTGGCTGTGGGTACAGCTGAGCAGGACGTGATGGAGCCTGATGGGAGGCTGGGTTTGGGATGTGCTCCTGCACTGCAGAGCTGACCTGCTGTCACCCTGTGCAGGGACACGAGCAAGGTGCCAGATTTTGGGATGGCATCACGAGGGGCTGTGCTTGGTGCTCTTCAGTTATCAACTGCTGCCCACAGAGGGCTGCTATTTATAGCACCCAATGTCCAGTGCAAAACTACCCAGTAAATTAGATTGCAAAATGCCATTTAAATCACCAAGATAGTTTTTAATTAGAAAAGAAGCAAACAAGCCGCTCTGCCCTTCTGTCACACATCTCAGTTCTGCACTCAGTGGGACAGACTTGCCGTGAGGCAGCTCGGTGCTTTGGGATGGTGGCATTGTGTGCTGGAAAGGGAAGAGAAACATCTGGAACATCTGCTGCTCCCTGTTCCTCTGAGCTGACAGCAGGCATTGAAGCTCTGCTGGAAGGACAAGCTTTGGGGTTTATTTACAAGTCAGCTATAAACCAAATCTCTGTGTTACTCCATCTGGGGCTGAGTTTAATTTCATAGTTGTTTTAAAATAAGGTCAGTTTGAGTTGAATTTTTCTTCCAGTCTTTGTTCCCCTTTCCCATATTCTCCCAGTACAGGTGCCACTGTGGGTTGGTAAGAACTTCACAGGATCATTTCAGTTGGAAAAGCCCTCCAAGGTCACCGAGCCCAAGCTGTGCCTGATGCCCACGTTGTCCCCAGCACTGAGTGCCATCTCCAGCCCTTCCTGGGACACCTCCAGGGATTGGGACTCTAAACCTCCCTCCAAAATTTAACAACCCTTTCCACAAAGGAATTCCTGCTGATGTCCACCCTGAGGCTCCCCTGGCACATCCTGAGGCCGTTCCCTCTTGTCCTGAGCATGTGCCCCTGGACCACATTTGCTGCTAGAGTTTTCCCCAGGGGTGTGGGGTGGTTCTTTCTGGCCTCTCCTCTGGGAGGGTCTGTGCCCAAGCTGGCAGTGGGGACTGTGAGGAGCCTGGCACTGGTGTCTGGGGGTCTCGGGCAGATGCCAGCCCACAGTCAGTTGTGGCTGAGCAGTGTGGGGAGCTGGGCCAGCCCTGCCCCGGCGGCGTTAATGCGATTTGTGCTGGGCTGTGACTAATGGAATAAATTAGGGCAGGAGCAGATGGTTGTCCCTGGGGGAGCTGCTCAGCCCGAGTGAACTGGGTCACTCAGCAATCTGTGGTGCCTCCCACCCCCCAGAGCTGGGCACGGGGACCCCCAGTGTCCGTGGCAGAGCCTGTGCCATGGGCTGTGGCCGTGGCTGTGCCCGGACACCGGGGCATTGTACCCCGGAGCTGTGCAGGGATGGAAACATCCCTGGGATGGAAGCACCTGCTGGGGCTGCCACATGGCAGTGGAAGTCCACTGGCTGTTATATTGGCAGAGAATCAAAGGATGCAGGGCTGGAAGGGACCTCAAGGATCATCCAGTGCCACCCCTGCCATGGCAGGGACACCTCCCAGTGTCCCAGGTGAGCCCCATCCAGCCTGGCCTTGAGCACTGCCAGGGATCCAGGGGCAGCCACAGCTGCTCTGGGAAATCCATTCCAGTCCCTCCCCACCCTCACAGAGAACAATTCCTTCTCAATATCCAGTCTAACCCTGCCCTTTTTCTCTTCAAAGCCATTCCCTGTGTCCTGTCCCTCCCTCCATGCTGAAATGGAATCACAGAATGCTGGTTTTATATTGAAATGCAACTATGGAGAAATAAAAGGATCTGCCTGAAGTTCCATACTAGAATTAAAGTTCATTAGTTGTTATATTTCAAGAATAAAATTATATCAGAGCTCCATAGTAATTTTAAAACTATTTAATATCAGTGAATTATAGTCAGTATGGAATGTGAAAAGGGAAAATGACTGGAACAGATTGGAGGAGCTTAAGTTAATACCCAAGAATCTCCTCTTCTAAGTCTTCATTGTTAGCTTTTGTAAGAGCTGGTGATAATTCCTTTTAAGTTGATAAAGTGAAGGCTGCAGTGAAGTTATGAGGAGACTGGAGTGATTCAGATGCAGTGATGAGAGTGGTGGACTCTGTCTCCTGCTGTCATAGTCCCAGAAAGGTTTGGGTTGGAGGGACCCTAAAGTCCACCCAGTGCCACCCCTGCCATGGCAGGGACACCTCCCACTGTGCCAGGCTGCTGCAGCCCTGCCCAGCCTGGCCTTGGGCACTGCCAGGGATCCAGGGACAGCCCCATTTCTCTGGACAATCTGCTCTAAGGCTCTAAAACAGTTCCCCACAATAAATGCCAGGACCTTTCTGAGTCCTGCCCCAGGGCAGGCTGTGGAGAAGTGACAGGAGCTGCTCTGCAGCTGTGGCAGTGACAGTGGCCCGAGGGGAGCAAAGGGGATCCAGCTCTTCAGGTTTGATTCAGCTCCAGAGAAGGGCAATATCAGCACACCTTTTATCATTTTATCATTTCTAGGAAGCCTTTTCATGTCTTTCCAAGGTGCTAATGACACTGATTTCTCTGAAGGGGCTCTGTTGGAGGAACCTGAGCATTTCAGGTCTTACTCCAACAAGTATTTCCACTGACACCAGTCCTGAGGGCCTGAGGCTGGAGCTGCTCTGTGCCAGTGAGCGAGGGACTGTGGTTTCATTTCCTGCATCCATCACCTGCAAACAGTGCCAGGGGAGGGTTAAATTCACCATTTTGGGCATGGATTTGATTCATTCCTACACACACAAGGAGAGCACATAGACACAGTTGTTTTAGTCATGTTTGGCAGGGAGATTTCTCTGCTGCTCTCCAGGGTGAGAACTCTGAGGTGATGGAAGCATTCCTAAAGCAGTGGATTCCACAGTGCCTGGAATATAACAATAATACAATAATAATGATGCAGCTTTGGGTGTGCCCTGGTGCCTGAGACTGCACCAGCAGGGGATTGAGCCCATCACTCCTCTCCTGGTGAGTTCTGTGGCTCACACAGAAGCTGCTGTGGCTTTTCCTGCTCCCCCAGCAGCATTCCCAGGCTTCCCCATGGAGCCCCCCTGTTGCTGAGCCCCCAGGCTGTGTGAGGCAGGAGCAGAGGCAGCTCTGGTGGCTGTGCAGCCCTGATTTATTGTGGGAAATGTAAATGATGGTTTAGATAACAGCATCATTGTCATACCCAGGGCTGGGATATTTAACAGCTATCGTGTATTTCCTCTCAATTAAATATTAATGTCCCAGCCTGGCTGTGACAGGTTGTGTGTTGCCTCAGTGAGAAGAGAGGAGTCTGGAGTGTCTGGAGGGCATCTTAAACTGTTTGCTGAGCTGAAGCTCAGGCAGGTGACTCCACTTGTGTTTGCAAAGCTTTGTTTGTTCCTCTCACGACAGCAGAGGTTCTGGATCTGCTGCTTCTGCATCTCTTTGGTAACGCAGGGAGTTCTTGGCAAGGAGATGTTTCACGGGTTTCCTTGTTGACCTAAAGTCCATTTAAGTTCTCTGTGAAGTCACTGGCTTGGGCAGAGCTCAGCTCCGAGTTCTTCACATGTTAGAAAAAAAGTTTCTGTGTTCTTGGAGAAAATGTGCAAAACAGAGCAAAATTCCACAGAAATGGAGTACCTGCTGACTCAGGTGGAAAGAGGGGCTTGGAGAGGTGATGATTCCTCATCTCCCAGTGGATTTTCCTTTTTGAGAGGTGTCCTGGGGTGGCTCACAACCATCTGCCTCTTGCTGACCTAAGAAATGTCCTTTCATTGAGGGAACAGGGACAGGAGGAGAGGGAACAGCCTTAGAATGTGCCAGGGGAGGCTCAGGGTGGACATCAGCAGGAATTTCTCCATGGAAAAGTTGTTAAATATTGGCAGGGGCTGTCCAGGGAGGGTTGGAGTGCCCATCCCTGGAGGAGTCCCAGGAATTCCTGGCTGTGGCACTCAGAGCTCTGGGCTGGGGACAAGGTGGGCACTGGCCCAGGGTGGACTCCATGGGCTGGGAGGTGTGTTCAGCTTTAATGATTCTGGGATTCTTTGATCCTGGATTCCCACATCCTGCAAGGTGCAATATCAAACCTGCTGAAGAGAGTTCAAGAGCTTCTTTGGCGCAGAGGAAAGGGATTTTAGGAGCTCTCTCCTTAAAATCAAGCCTTCCTTCTTTGTCCCAGGGACAGGGATCTCCAGCTGATCAATTCCTCTGGGATGTATTTTCATTAAGCTCATTAGATCACACAGGAAAAGCAGTACAGTTGTGTTTGTGTCTGTGCCAGGGGCCAGAGGCAGTTCTGTCATGGCTGTGCAGAAGCTCAGGCGTGTTTGGGGCTTTGTGTCATCCTTTCATTTTGCAATTACAGAGTAAGTTTTACCAGACTCTACTATTTTGAGGAATTCTTCATGGAAAAGGTGTTAAATATTAGAAGGGACTGCCCAGGGAGGTGGTGGAGTCAAGAGGTGTCCCAGGATGTGGCACTCAGTGCTCTGAGCTGGGGACAAGGTGGGGATCAGGCACAGCTTGGACTCGATGTCCTGAAGGTCTTTTCCAGCCTTAATGGCTCTGGGATCCTTTGAGCAGCCTGTGATTTAGACCCAAAAACCTGCTTCCACCCAGGCAAACTCATTTCCCCCCCAACCTAACAATGGAGAATTGAATCTGATGTCCCCTTGTCCTGTGGTGGCCCTGGGAGCTGCAGCCACCGTGCTGTCGCTGCGTGTCAGGGCTCTGCAGCTGATGCAGGAAAACACTTTTCAAAACCCATTGACTACAACCTGTCTGGAGCTGTCAGCCTGGTTTTAACCTCACACGTGCTGCTGCAGAGCCAGAGGAGCGAGGTTAAATCAGGATGTTGGCAATAATCTCAGTGTCACACGTCCCTTCCTTCCCAGGCTGTCCCTGGGAACAGGGAAGGAGCGCTGGGGTTTGGGTGGTGTCCATCAACGTGTCCTGACACACAAGAGGGTCTGGGAGCACTTGGAGATGCTCTGTGTGCTTTTCCTTGAGAAAATCCTCTCTGAAGAGTGGATGGGAAGCAGTTTGTCTTTCTGGGATGTCCTGTTTGTTTGAAATCCTACCTGACAGGAGGAGACAGCTGGGGGGGTCAGGCTCTGCTCCCAGGGAACAGGGACAGGAGGAAATGGCCTCGGGCTGGGCCAGGGGAGGCACAGCAGGAGGAATTTCCCCATGGAAAGGGAGCTCAGGCCTTGGCAGGGGCTGCTCAGGGAGGTTTGGAGTGCCCATCCCTGGAGGTGTGCCCTGGAGGTGGCACTCAGAGCTCTGGGCTGGGGACAAGGTGGGGACCAAGCACAGGGTGCACCTGATGGGCTGGGAGGGTTTTTCCAGCCCCAGTAATCCTGGGATCCTGTGAATTTCTCCCCAGCAGCAGCATCAGTCCCTCAACACCTCCCATGGTCCATGGAGTGGTCTCCTGGCCAGAGCAGCTGGGGCTGCCCCTGGATTATCCCTGGCAGTGCCCAAGGCCAGGCTGGGCAGGGCTTGGAGCAGCCTGGCACAGTGGGAGGTGTCCCTGCCATGGCAGAGTGGAGATGGGATGATCTCAATGATCCCCCCCACCCTAGAATGTAAATTTAGATATTTCTATGCAGTATTTTTTTTGTTTGTTTGTTTGAGTTCCACCAACCTGGGCACACTCGGAGTGTTCTGCGCTTTGTCTCCCTTTTTTGTCTTAAAGGATTGAATCCAGCTTTCTTTGTAAATCCTTCCCTTTCCTAGGAGGACTGACACTTTCCAGCCCAGTTTGAAACTCTGCTTCTAGGCTTGAAAGAGCTGTCTGACAAAATCGAATCGAGATTTTCCCTGTGACATTATTGGGTCACTAAATCCTAACTCTGAGATAAAACCTGTGAGGGAGAATGTCCCCAGTCTCCCTAAATTGAATTATGGTGGCAGATAGTTCAGATAAGTGGGTTTATCATCTTAAAATAGGCCAAAAGGAAAACTATTACCCTTCAGTCAGATGTTTTAGTTGGTTTTTCTTACATATGGAAGGGACTCGTGTAAAAATCTCTCTACAGCACTGTTGCTGTTCAAGAACACTTCGTACCTTGTTTTTCCTCAGTGTAGCACACAGGAATTAGCAGGAAAATGAGGATTACTGAAAATGAACCCCCAGCAGCAGCTGATGTCTTCAGAAGCTTAGAGATGGATCAGGGCTTGTCAGCAGCAGTTCTGCATCACCCCAGTCCAGGATCTAAATAAGCTCCTGTAATGCCTCTCTATAAATTGTGAAATCCTTGGCCAGGACCACGAGATTGTGCTTCCTCCTGTCCCTCCTTGCAGAGCTGTGGATAAATTGGGATTTCTTCAACTTCTAAGCAATCCCACCAAATATCAAGGATTCTAGAACATGATCCAGGCACCTCCATGGTGTTTCCATGGCTGGTTGTTATCCCCTGATCTCCAGCACCTGCTGGCATTACAGGAACATTTTAAATCAGTGTTTTGTAAAGCAATGAATGAATTGCCTAACAGTGCACAGGGGATGCAATCCCAGCTCTTCCAGCACTCCTGCTCTGAGGTGCACCCATCCAGCCCCTGGAACAGTGACTTCTTCATCATCATCTTTATTATTCCTCTTCTGCCCTCATGTTGGTGTCACCTGAGCAGCAGCTGGGCCCTGTCTGGTCTGGTTTGGGGCTGGAGCAGCTGCTCCTTTTCCTGATGCCACGGGTGGAGAGCAGCAGCTTTTGGTTAGCCCAGAATAGAGTGAGTGTGGGGAGTGCCTGTGGGGGCAATTCTAAAGCCCTCCCTCTTTGTTTCTCAGATGGAGCTGAGGAAGAGAAGATGGAAACAGAGGCAGAGGGGCAGCCAGCAGAGAAGGTGAGTTTGGGTCTGCTGGCAGGAGGCTCCTGGCACTTAAATCCTGAATTCACCTGCTAAATTATTCTCACAATTAAATTATTATTATTTTGTTTATGTATTAATATAATGATGTTTAATATGTATTAAAATAAATTAATATTCTGATTGTATATGTAAATTTAATTTTTAAATTATTATTCCTGCTACATTTCTGACAAATAAATGGAGATGGTTTTTTTTCTGGAGTCTGCAGCAACAGGAGATATTTCTTGTTGTCTCCTTCACCAGGTGAGGAGTCCAGACTAGCCTGAGGCTGATCAGTGCAGCTTTGGGGTTATTTCCCACTCTGTTTTCAGGTAGTTCTGCCTCCCTGATAAACAGGAAGAGATAAGTGGGGAAGACTCACTCAGGGCTTGGAAATCTGCATGCTCCCACACATCCCATGATTCTGTGATCTTAGTTCAGGAGGTTCTGTGCCCACAGAATGACCCAGCTTGGCCTGGGTCACTGGACTTGGTTCAGTTTAGCACTTTTATTCACATTTTGGGTTTGTTTGTCAATTCTGGCTCCAGCAGCAGCTGCCCTTTAAAGTGTGATCTCTTCCACTGTGGTAATGAATTCCTTGGAAGGCCATGAACAAAGCTGACAGTAAATATCTTCTCTCCCTGCCATTGTCCCACCAATCCCATCCCTTCAGGTGGAGAGCAAAGCTGAGAGTGAGCCCGAGGAGGGGGAGAAGGTCCTGGAAGGGGAGAGCGAGCGGAACGCAGAGAAGGAGCCCGAGGGCGAAGGGGCTGCGGAGCCCAAGACAGGTGAGAGCTGCCCCTGCCCCTGCCCCAGCTCCTGCCCCAGCTCCTGCCCCAGCTCCTGCCCCTGCCCCAGCTCCTGCCCCTGCCCCAGCTCCAGCTGCTGCCTCAGCCTCCACCATAGC